GAACGCTCATTTGTACATCATTCTAGAGATAAATAAATGGCCTTTTTAGAAAGTGAACCATGGATGGGGAAATGTTGGCAGTTTTCTCAAAAAAGGCGTGAATTCAAGAAGTTTCAGATTTGCTTGGTTTTTTATTGAGTTGCAAAATCCACTTGAACATGATGCTGCTTTTTTCGAAATTTCTCAAGAACCATTCGAGCCACAGAATTTGTTTTGGCATCGTTGGATAGAGAATTGAAAAGTCGATTCAATCGGAACAACGTGAGTGAGCAGATTCGAATAGTTTTGACTCAGAAAGCCAAATTTGAATATCACACACTTAGGTGCAAGATTATGCCAAAATTTCATGTTTTCCGTCCCATTTTTGCTCATTTCTCGGACATTTTTCATTTTCCCCCTGAATCCTCCCTTGCAAGAAGGGAGTTTACCTCCACATGCCCAACAAGGTTGAGTAGCCAGTTTGATTGGAAAAACCCCTTTATTTACAGAAACGGACAAAATTGCCTCGGTTCTTCCACTTGGCGTCTCAGCAAAAGAATCTAATGTTTCCCAATTATGGGTTTGTGTTGAATTTTAAATCTGATGATGGCGCTGTTGTCTCGCCGAAACGTTATACGAAATAAACGATATCCACATTTTTATTTGAAGAGAAACAAAACGCTTCGAAGAAACCCATTTCAACGCCACATCGAATAATACATATAAAGCGCGCATTACATTTTAGTAGTAAACAGACTGCATTTTTCCATAAATTTTGTTTATGAATCAGTTTGCTACTAAAATCTAATGCATAATTGTGCAACATTTCAGTGGCAGTTCTGGGGCGATTGGTTAAATCTACGTCCAATGAAGGATGGGTTTGGATCGGGACTTCGGCTCGGCCTGCCCAAATGCCCGATTTTTCACCCAGTGAACGCGACTTTTACGCCTTTTCCAGGCTCCAAAATTTTGCCTCAATTATCAGCTAATACCTAATACTTACTGTTTAAAAAAACCACAGTAATCATAGTGATAAAGAAGAACGAATAAGGCCACATGCTGGTATCGACCATAGCCAAGGCTATGGTTATTATAAAGATCATGATGTTTATTACTATGCTCCACATGATTCTGAGAGTCAAATCACCTCTGGAATGGAAAAACACATTAGGGTTGAATGGGCGGGCAAAAGGGCGACTTACTTGATAGGCACGAAAATGTTGAACCAGTTAAAAATAACATTAGGAACTTGTGAACAAAACGTCAAAATTTGCATAAAATTCGCTACATAGGGGAAGTTGAAGCCAATAGAGTCCTTGCCCAGTTTGTACACAATAAAATACTGAAACAAGGCGAGTTTCAGTGGGGAATTGATCGGTTTTCCGCGAGGTGAAACTCACCGAAATGGCATTGATGAACATATTCCAAGGCAACAAAGTGGCGATACCATGTATCAAAAATATGATATAGACGAAGGAGTATTTGTCTCGTGGGGTGTGGATCTGTAGGCTGGCGTTATCCATTGTGAGATTGTTGAAATTGAGCTCGGCCTCCGATAAATCGTTCCCTTCCCAAGACGGCTGCAGTTTAACTGGCTTCTGAAGATGCGTCCTTTCATGGCTCTCCTCTCCGCCAACAACTAAACAAACGAGAATTCAATTAATTGCCCTTTACCTGTCTGCCATCGGCCCATCATTCCGATGATCGATCGCAGCAGGTCAATCACTGCCTTTCCACCAAAAATCTTCTTCATGCAACAGGATGAACACGCTGAACTTGTTCTACTTTAATGCAGTTTTATGTACTCGTTTGCCCAATAGATTGGGCTTTTTTAGGACAAGTGCAATTTTGCGGGACGTTTCATCAGCTTTAAGGACCGATATCTTCAGAGGTCATGTCAGGAGCAAAGAATATCAAGCGCATTTTTTCCTTCAATGAAAAATTGCATTGAATCAATGCATTCCAATTTGCATATGAAAATTCCAGTCTTTGAATCATTTGCATCTCGATTACATTCAGTATATTTCCCAACAATTAATTGCAATATTAAGAGCCTTTCCACTCAAATCGGTTTTTGCTCCCAGCTGAAACTTTTTTTGAAGTGTCTGCAGTTGCGTTAAAACGCTCAGTTTTCAACCAATATTTGCAAAAGGCCGCACAATTCAGCGTTTGATGCCATTTATGTGAAACATTGAGAGTCTTTAGATTCATCTCTCCTCTATAGACTGTGAAAAATGCAAGTTTGTACTTGCTCTCAGCTGAAAGTTAGAAGTTTTTTTTGAAGAGACTGCACTTGCGTTGAAACGCTCAATTTTCAACCAATATTTGCAAAAGGCCGCACAATTCAGCGTTTGATGCCATTTATGTGAAACATTGAGAGTCTTTAGATTCATCTCTCCTCTATAGACTGTGAAAAATTCAAGTTTGTACTTGCTCTCAGCTGAAAGTTAGAAGTTTTTTTTGAAGAGACTGCACTTGCGTTAAAACGCTCAATTTTCAACCAATATTTGCAAAAGGCCGCAAAATTCAGCGTTTTATGCCATTTATGTGAAACAATGAGAGTCTTTAGATTCATCTCTCCTCTATAGACTGTGAAAAATTCAAGTTTGTACTTG